TGAATTATTATATGGGCGGAAATAATAGTATTATATTTAATTAATAGTATACACTTTTATAAAGATTTAAATAGTTTTCTTTTTGCATACAAATGAGCTAGTAATATTATCGTTTTGTTAAAATCGATAATATTACTAGCCTGTACATTTTGTACATTTGTTGCTTTAAAAACAATCTAAAATGTCAACATTCTATGGGTATATTGATAAATGAGGTCTAAATTATAAGAAAATGCATTTTCTATGAAAACTTGAAGGGATAGGCAAAAAATGGTATAATACAATTTGACAGACAATTAAATTGTGCATCTGATTCTCCTAAAATATACAGAGCGTTCCATTTAAATTAAAGAAGTTATTGGCGTTTAAAGCTAGAAATTATTTAAAATAAATTTTTAGACACTCTGTATAAGGTAGTATTATTTTTATTATTGTAACAGAATAACTGATCAATAAATAAACTTCAGTAAATATTTAGTATTAAAAACTTTGATACCCTTGGAGAAATGATGCCTTAAAATTTTTACTGCAATTTCACAAAATTGAAAATATTTCAAAAACGGTAAGGTTTAAGTATAATAAACCTTAAACAAATTTACCTTTATTTTAATCGTAGAAACTAAAAATGTAATAATATACAGGGTGTTCCATTTAAAAAAATACAACTTTAATATTTTTTACTTATTTGAGACACTCTGTATCTTGTAAAATTATTTTTAAATTGTACCTCTAATAGTCCTTCATCGAACCCAAAACTTACAATTTGTAAAAATATAATCGTTTAGCTACAATACTCCGTGTCGTATGTGGTGAACAACCCTGTATATTTTGCATTTTTTTATTAATATTCTGTTGTTACACTGCAATAATACTTATTATTTTGGATATAGGAAAATAGTTTTTAATGTTTTTAAGCAAAGACTGGTTTAATAAATAATAGTAACAGTACTAATTTGTTATACCTATTAACAACAAAATGTAAAATCCTGAAATACAAACATTTATTTATTTTTTAAGTAGTAGCAAAATACGAAAAAAAAACAAATTTGAAGTCAAAATAATTTATATTAGATCCTATGTAAAAATAATAAAAGTCTCTAAATTTTTTGGCAACGTTGGTTTATTAAATAATAATAATTACAGAACTAATTTGTTATATTAACAACAAATTTTAAAAATCATGAAATATAAACATTTATTAATTTTCTAATATCCGAAAATTCGCTCGAGTATTCGATTATTGAAATAACCGACATAACAGCAAGTGACGAGTCCCAACGACGAACGAACGACGAACGACGAACGAACGACGAACGACGAACGAACGACGAACGACGAACGAACGAACGACGAACGCAAGCCATCCTAGAATGAAATAAATTCAAATCCGATTTTAATGTAACATACTCGATAAAAAGTCGAGCAAATTTTCTACATACATTGCAGGTAGCAAATTTATATAACGCTGTATATATATTTATCCGTTGCGTATCTGAGGGACAAAATTTTACGACCTACATCGACAATGCTTCCAAATAAAACAATACTTACCATTCATCACCGAAAGAATATGTGCCCTGCGCACGCAACTTACTGCTTGGCGCTTGGCGTTAACGAGTACTTACAACAGGCGACGGATAAAAACCGTATTTTTAAATACGAGTGATATTTCGCTCGAGCTATCACTCGGTTATTGCAATCGCTTGAAACTCGAGTACTCGATTATTGAAATTAATCGGTTTTCCCCATCACTAATACCTACCCTTGGCTAGTTATTCAGGTTTTATAAATTATATATAGGTTGCCTGCCACTGGCTCTTAGACTATTATTTTTTTGTTCAACTTAACTTAGAAAAAAGTTTAGAATCAAATCCAAACCAAAAATATTTCCAATCTATTCAACACTTTGTTATTTTTTTAGTGCCACTATTTTTCAATTCCTAAAGCAAACAACGCTGTAATTAATTTTCGTCTGGGCTGGTCTTTTACCAGACAGAAATAAACGAATGGTTCTTTCTTTTAAAAGCTTTTCATAGGAAATATTTCTTTTTCCAGGGCACTTTATTTTAGCTGCGTTAGAGATAAATTTTCAACCTTTCCAAACTACCCCGACGGTTTATTTACAAAGATGAAAATAAATTTGACTTTCTTTCTGATAAGAAGAAGACTGTATATATACCAGAAAGGAACGATTATATTCCTTCTTTAAATATATGATACTAGCGTGTACCCGCGACTTCGTTGGCGTCGAATTAATAATTTGTAATGGTGATGATAAATTTAATATTATAAATTTTCTCACATTTATGTCAGCATGAGAAAAAACAATATGGCGATATTATTATATAACTTGGTAATATTTGAGGGGTAGTTCCATCTCGTTGAAATTTGACTTTCGAAAAATCCGTTTGCCAAAAATAAGCATTTTAGATCAAGCAGTTTAAGCAGAATCGTGGTTAATCAATTACCCAACTTTTAGGAACACACTGTATGATTTTTTAAAAAAATTCAAACTATGTAAAAAAACAAAATAATTTATGCGTGTCCAAGCGTTTTCCCGAAAGACTAACCGTTTTTAAAATAACAAATATTGTAATATTGAGGGGCGTTTTCACCCTCTTGAAATTTGAGATTCGAGAAACCCCTCCTTATTGAACTCCACAGTCAATCCCTTTGCCAAAAATCAGCTTTAAACGTCAAGCAGTTTAAGCAGAATCGTAATTACTCAATGGTCATATTTTATGAAACGCCCTCTATAAATTTTTAAAAAATCTTAAAATATGTAAAACAACAAAAAAAAACGTGTTTAAGAGTTTTTCCGAAAAACTCACCGGTTTTAAAATATAAATTCTAAATATTCTAATCTTTGAGGGTTGGTTTCACCCCCTTAGAATTCGAGTTTCGAAAGATCCCTTCTTATCGAACCTCTACACCCTAAAGTCAATCCCTTTTCCAAAAATCAGCTTTTTACGTCAAGCGTTTTAAGCAGGATCGTGATTAATCAATAACCAGATTTTTCGAAATACCCTGTATACGTTTTTAAAAAATCTTAAAATATTACAGTTGAGGGTTGGAACCTTTGGTGTTAAACAGCAAAATAAAAACACTAAATCACCACAATACACCAAAACACTTTTACTTTTACACTGGATGCGCGTTTCGCTAACCATGTTAGCATCATCAGCAGATGATTATAAACTAAAGTACAATCTACAAGTTGAGCGTTTATATACTCGCCCAGTGGGCACCGAGTGGGCTTAAAATATGTAAAAAACAAAATAAAATATACGTGTTTAAACGTTTTTTCGGAAACTTGACCGTTTTTTAAATAAAAAATATTGTAAATTTGAGGGGTGGTTTCACCCCCTTGGAACTGGAATTTCGAAAAATCCCTTCTTATCGTACCTCTACACCCTAAAATCAACCTGTATCCAAAATTGAGCTTCTTACGTTGAGTGGTTTGAGCAGGATCGTGATTAATCAGTGAGTCAGTCACTAAAGGATTTTATATATTAGTATAGATTATTTAAAATATAATAATTATTCTACTATAATTTAAAGTATTTTTTTAGTTTTTTTATGGCAGTTTGTTAAATAATGTTAGTTTTAGCATAGTATAAGGAAAAAAGTAGTTCCACTCTCAAATATTTTCTGCCAGCGGACAAAATTCGACAGATCGTTGGCAGCATGCAGAGCGCTTTAGTTGAGATTCCTCAGTCGGGTTGTGAGGTTCGAGCGTTCGGTCCCAGAACAGAGTCGGATAGATTAAACTGATTGCGACTCTGAACCGCTATATTGAGTGTCTAATATAACCGTATTTTAGCCTTTTGTAGATTATACAGAATGATTCACGGCCATGGCACGTTAGCCGTTTATAATAGTAAACCGGCCATGGGATTTTTTTGAAAATGTGGATTTTTGCATAAAGGCATCTGCTCCATCTATCTAAATTATTTCAGCAGTAAGCTTCATATTAAAAGTGGTAACATCTTTGTTACTTTAAATAAAACATCCGGTATATTATTACATTTTTGAAAATTACTTTGATATCTCATTATTTTTATGTTATACTAACCTATATTATACTATTTTTATCTTAAAAATTATTAGAGATAGGTATGGGTTAGTATAATAGAAAATTATAAATATGAAAGTAGTTTACAAAAATGTAATAATATACTGGATATGCCATTTAAAATACCACTTTTCGAAAGATGCGGCAACACTGTAATACTGAAAATATTTTAGAAAGATGGAGCAGGTACCTTTACCGTAAAAATCTAAATTATCAAAAAATTCTATCACCGATTCTCCATAAACGTCTAACGTGCCATCGCCGTGAATCACCCTATACAGGGTTGTTCACCACATACGACACGGAGTATTGTAGCTAAACGATAAGATTTTTACAAATTGTAAGTTTTGGGTTCGATGAAGGACTATTAGAGGTACAATTTAAAAATAATTTTACAAGATACAGAGTGTCCCAAATAAGTAAAAAATATCAAAGTTGTATTTTTTTAAATGGAACACGCTGTATATTATTTCATTTTTAGTTTCTACGATTAAAATAAAGGTTTAAGTATAATAAACCTTAATCAAATTTACCTTTATTTTAATCGTAGAAACTAAAAATGTAATAATATACAGGCTGTTCCATTTAAAAAAATACAACTTTGATATTTTTTACTTATTTGGGACACTCTGTATCTTGTCAAATTATTTTTAAATTGTACCTCTAATAGTCCCTCATCGAACCCAAAACTTGAAATTTGTAAAAATATAATCGTTTAGCTACAATACTCCGTGTCGTATGTGGTGAACAACCCTGTATAATTTTGAAAACATAATTTAGTTAATTTTTGTTCAAATCTGGTAATACATTAGAGTTAAAAAAAGAGAAACCAAGAAAGGACGAAATTATAACTACAATGCATGTACAAAATCAGATTTTACTATCAAAACTGTATTTTGTACTTTGATACAAATTATTAACTTACCTGATTTAGAATTGACAAAAACCAAAAGTGGACTGGATGCTTGCGGCCTTACGACTTCCCACGCTTCATCCTGTACGGAATGCAGTGCCGTCGGTGGTACGACACTGACTCTAGCTGGTCCAAGAGGACATTGTTTTTGTACGGTCGGTCGGCATTGAGTATGAACAGTAGCATGGCACCATAAACATCGCCAATCTTGTAATCTAAAAAAAAAATAAAAAATATTTCTTTGTACTCTTTTTCAGATAGAATGACATAGTTTTTTTTTATTAATTTAAAAAAAAATTTTATTAATTTTAACAGATGTTTGAAACATTTTGACCTGAAACTTCATCCGGCAAGTCTCCAATCAACAGATACATCGTTTTTGTTAGCAGAAAACCAAAAGGGAGTGGAAGACAGAAATGTTTGCTTAGCAGGTAAAAGACCATACCATAACGTGGTACACTGATGCTTCCAAAACCAAATCAGGGACAGGGATTTAGGCCGAAAACACAAATACTCCTAATCAATGGGCACCCCTACCACAGCATCCTTCGGTAAGAAATCTACGCTATAGAAAGATGCCTACAATTTTTCGGAAACAGGAAATAGCCATCTTGTAGATAGTCAAGCAGCACGAAAAGCGATAAACTCAGAAATATGATAAATATACACACAACCAAACTTATATGGAATCACTCTTTATTTCTGACTAAATTTCTTGCAAGGGTAAAAATTCGTATACAACTTTAAGATAAGGCTTTTTGTTGTAAATAAACATGACAATAAAGAATAAATGTCTGCTGCGATTTATTTTCTTTTGAATTTTGTGTTCAGTAGTAAAATCACGATTGTCCGGTAATTTTCATTCGATCCAAAAAAATATAAAAATGCCTTATGTTGGATTAACAGAAGTACCGGGTGAGTCAACGATAGAGTAAAGTCCATTATCTCATTTGTTTCAAGGTTTACAAAAAAATGCTTAATACAGAAGTTATAGGGATGGTTAAGATACACATTTTAAAATTATTATAGAGTATACAAGGTGCTTCAAAAAAGTGTGGCGGCTATAACATATGTTTTTTTAAATACAACACACTAATTTTTATTCTATTTTTAGATTCTGCGTAAAATTCCATAACTTTTTTATATATAATATTATATACCTAAAATTAATAGTTTTTGCAATATTTCAATTTATTTAAACAAATGTTAAATTGCAGTGTGGTAAAAAATTGTCAGTGGTGCCATTGTTTTTGAAGTTGGAGTACCAAAATTTGGTAGGAGAGTTTTATAGAGATGAAAAAAAAGATATATGTAAAGATATTTTAGTTAAATGATACAGGGTGTTCAAAATATATTTATGAATTTCAACTAATTAAAATTAAAAAATCTCAATTTTTTTAAATAGGACACCCTATATATTATCATTTTTTCTAATATATTTTCCAAAACTCTTCAACTTTTATTAAGTATGTCATATACCTATTTTTAATAGTTTGCGATTTATTCCCATTCTATTTTTACCCATATTTTTAATACAATTACCCTATAAAATCATAGTTACCATAACAAAACAAAACTATTTATTACTTACTTTTAACAAGTAGCTTCATAGTTAGTTACAATTGCTGGTATTAGTTAAAATTAATTAACTTTACTCAAATAAATTAAATCGCAGTAGTGCATTTCTTGGTGTATTTCTGTATTACGAAAGATGACACTTGGGATTTTTCGTCGGGGCGAATAGCCACAGATTAGGTTAATACTAGATTACCTAATTGCTGAAGACTACTAATATAGAAATTTTCTTCGACATACAGTGAAGTTTTTTCTCGTAGTAATTCTGGTTTATATTTCATTTGGTATAGCCAATATTACTACTGCCGCGAAACCGTCCCATTACTCACTGAAGATGTTTTCTATATAATATATAGTACTGAATCAAAAAATGTGGTTTTCTAGGCTTGTCCGTGTATATCAGTCACATTGACTAATTCATTTCCAGAAAATCTGTAACTATTATCTCTACCATTTATACTTATTACAACAAATTAAACTAAAATTCAAATTTTGTTTTTAACTTGCCTAACAGACATGAAATTGTTATAATTGTTACTTTTTGTACTATTGATGTTATAGTGCAATTGTATTAAAATTATCGGTAAAAATAGAAAAAAATTGGAATAAATCGCAAAGTACTAAAAATAGGTATATGACATACTTAATAAAAGTTGAAGAGTTTTGTAAAATCTATCAGAAAAAATGATAATATATAGGGTGTACCATTTAAAAAAATTGAAATTTCTTAATTTTAAGTAGTTGAAATTCATAAATATATTTTGAATACCCTGTAATATCTAACTAAAATATCTTTACATAGGTCTTTTTCTATATCTCTATAAAATTCTTCTTCCAAATTTTAGTTGTCCAACTTCAGAATCAATGCCATCATTGACAATTTTTCATCACAAATATAACAAAAACTATTAATTTTAGGTTTACATTATATATAAAAAAGAATTTTACGCAGAATCTAAAAATAAAATAAAAAATAGGGTGTTGCATTTAAAAAAACATATGTTATATTCGCCACACTTTTTTGAAGCACCCTGTATACTGTATAATAACTTTAAAATGTGTATCTTAACCATCCCTATAACTTTTGTGTTAAACAATTTTTTGTAAACCTCGAAACAAATGAGATAATGGACTTTACTCTATCGTTGACTCACCTTGTATAGAGGGGGAAAATTATTGCTCTCAGCGAACAAGGAATGCTCCAAAGAGGCGTAGCAGAGATAGTAGGCGTTACCCAGGGTGTTGTATCGAAAACATATGCAAGATACTTGGAATTAGGAACACACAAGGATAGGCCCAGACAAAGTCGTCAAAGAGTCACAACTCAACAACAAGAGCGCCTTGTGTGCCAAATTGCTAGAATAAATCCCAATGTTTCTCATCCAGAGCTAAAAAGACAACTTCTGGCAGCTACAAGTATGAACGTTTCAGTTGAATCCATAAGAAAAAGGCTTCATGCTCGAGGTTTTTACAGTATGAGAGAGTTACGGATCCCAAAGTTATCTCGGCAAAATAAAATTGACCGGCTAAATTAATGCCTTCAACATCAAAACTTGACAACTGAGAATTGGCAAAATGTTCTTTTTTCGGATGAGACCAGAATTGGCCTAAGATCAGATAACCATCGAATTCGGGTTCTCAGAGCTCCAGGAAGACGCGCAAGACTTCAGGCTGTCAAATCTGTACCAAAATATAAAGGGGGAACTGTAATGTTCTGGGGAGGTATTATACTGGGAGCAAAAACTCTATTGCTACCACTTCAACAAATTTTAACGAGTCGGAAATATGTTGATTTGGTGCTAGAACCAATCGTTACTCTTTGGAGAGCTGTAATTGGGGATAATTTTAATTTCATGCACGATAGTGCACCTCCCTATACCAGCAGAGTGTCTAGGAACGTCTTGAAACGGAAGGTGTCATAGTTTTGGACTGGCCTGCCTATTTACTATATCTAAACCCTATCAAATACTTGTGGGACTAGCTAGCCCAAAAGAAGGGTTAAAGCTCGTCGAAACAATCCAGGAAATCTCGCACAGCTTATTGATGTAGCATTAGCAGAATGGGAAAACATACCTCATGACAACGTGGATAATTTAATAAAAAGCATGCCAGCGCGGATAGAAGCTTGCATAAGGGCTAGAGGTGGCAACAAGGAATATTAAAATTATCAATTTTCTTTTTGTTTATGCTTTTTGGTCATTAAAAATTTAAATCTTAAGTTCGTTTCAAAAACCAAAAAAAATACCATATTGTTAATTTTGGGAACTCATTAATTTTTTTTATTGCTATATGAATTATTTTTCATTAAAAGTCATTGGTAAGGACTGAGTTTTATTCATAAACACAAAATTTTCATACATCTCAAAAATTATGAAAAATAAATAGATGATTCCATATAAGTTTGATTGTGTGTATATCCGTATATAAACGTCTATAACGTACAAGTATTTAATAAATACCTTACAATCAAAAAAAATTACCTGAAATATAAGATGACACTAACTTTCATTTCCAAACGTATCGATCGTATGGTATATTATTGTAACAACTCTCATAGCCATCTCTACCCATTATTTATTCAGGAACAAGGTATTAACGTAATAAGCGGCTGCAGAGAATAGGGCTTGTATATTTAAAAGGATTTTTAATGAGTCATATTTATTTTTAGACGCTCTTCGGAGGAAACTCTTTTCGTTTCGTTCCTTTTTAAACCAATTTTTCCTTAGCGATGTAGAGCTTTTCTTCCAGGTCGGCGTTAAAACAACGTTTCTTATTAAGCGACGGGGACTTCTATTAATTTAAACAGAGGATTAACTTTTCTCGTTTGCATAAAGAATGATCATGGAGATGTTTCTCGAATAAAATAGCTCGATTTTTTACAGCAGATACCGTAAAATTGACATTTTACCACACAACAATGTTGTGTATACTCTGTTGCTATACTGTTTCTACTAGTGATGGGAATACCGGTTCCACATGAGTCGCGTTACGGTAGCGACCGTTCCAGAAAAATACCGCGACAAAATTAATAATAATAACAATTTAAAATGATACCACCTGCCCAGGGAGAGTCTTAAAAGTTTTCAAACTGTTGTAGATGAAGAAGGACGCAACCAACAACTGCCACGAAGATAAAGATTAACAATATAATTGAATTGTATATATTTTTTTTAAACAGTTGTATATATTTTAAATAATAAACGGTTTATATAATGAAATTTTTAACCAACATTTTCCCTTAAAGCTAGTATCAATAAAGAACAAAAAGAAACATTTATATGATAATCCACTAATTCTAGAACATAAGAAAAAAATGGATATTTTACTACCACTCTCGAAACATTACCATTATTACAAAGAACTATATAAAAAATATAAAAAACAATATGACATATTATTAAAGCAATGTAGAGCTATGTCATATCGGGCAGAGTTGAAAAATCAGATAATAAAGTGAAGTGTATGTGGAGCATATGTAAGGAAATAATTGGTAATAATAAAGATGCATCTCCAAATAATCTTAATCAAAATGGACAACAAATGGTTGAAACATTTAATGAGCATTTATTATCAATTGTTCCCAATCTACTACAAAATTTACCAAGCGGCTATAGCATTAACACTGAAATTAATAATAAAT